GGGAAATAATTAAATAAATAATATAATAGACTAATAGAGTTATAGTATAACTGAAATTAAAACTAAAATATTCACATTATTTGAATGGTCATTTTTTTATAAATTATAAATTGATAATTTATTTTTTATAGAATATTTCATTATTAATTACATTTAAAATTATTTATAAACAATGCATTGTAAATATACCATGTGGCATGGTCAAATAATTGAGTCCTTGCCACATAACCAAAAAATTTCCATCGTACTGAACTTTAGCTACGACAGAGTCAACTGACATTGGACCGAATGAAAAGTTAAAGGTTTGACTATTATATTATTTCTGAAAAGGTTTAGCTATTATTTTGTTTAAAATCAAAGATTTGATTATTATATTATATTTACCTTTTTATGATCTCCATTGTTCAAATTAATTAAACTAATACTTAAGTAGGTTTTTATTAATTGGGTGTTGAGAATATCAAGGATTACAAAACCAATAAAATAACATATTCATATTATTTTACTATTCATAAATAAAATATTAATATACAATCAAATTATTTTACTATTACATAACCAATAAAATTACATATTCATCACACTTCCCAACACACACTTTTCTTCCCACTTTTTTTCATAAAACAACATTTTCCTCCCACTTTCCTTAACCTTCAAATCTCCCCTCCCCTCTTAATTTTCCTTCACCTCCCCTCATTTTCCTCCCTTCTTTCGGAAACAGAGGGTCAATCTTCCAATTTGAACCAACAAAATCTGCCGAGCGAGGAGAAGAGCCGCTCGCAGGCAGCAGCTCTGTATTCTATAGCAGTATACCGGTTCAGGGCTTCAAGTGTTCCAATTCATCCATTTACTCCTTAGGTTTGTAAGTTCTTCCATTTTAATCTTCCAATTCTTTTCTTTATGTTTGGTACTGCCGTACTGGAGGATCATTTTCAATGGAAGTAAACTTATGGGTTTTGTGAAATGGGGTTCCCGAACTAGTGTTTTCAGGGAATTGGATTGTTAGCTTGCAGCTTTATGGTGAGAGGGATGGCTTACGGGTTTCCTGCAATGCTTATGGCTTTGTGGGGAATTCTTGCTCAAAGTTTGGTTAATTGAATTCGGGTGTGAGTAAAGTTTGAGTTTTGGGAGAGTAATATGTATTTTATTTTTTGGACGAATGTACAATATGTACCTGCTGGTTCTTTTCTTTATGTTTGGTTATTAACATCTAACCTCTTTTATTCCTTTTTTTCAGGGAACTTAATTTTGATTGGAAATTTTAAACAATGATAGATGGAATATTACTTTTTAATCATTTTTTGAAGTTATGTATTTTTAAGTATTATCCACTAATTTCTATTTTTAATAAATTTGTAAAAAAAATAGGGCTACAATTTAATTTTCGAACAGGGCCTCCGATTATCATGGACCGGCCCTGCATCTCCATATCAGAGTAGAACGTGATCCTTCTTTACTACATTGACACTTTACTTAGAGCCATAAGCCAATACCACTGCCATCCATCCAACTCAAGTTCTTTAGAACATTATGTCAATTGTCAAGTAAGCAAGATGAAAAACAGAATACAGATACCTTCAAGCAATGAAGTCCCAGACACCTCCATAGAGCACACAGCATTAACAGTTGCAGCAATGGTGACTGTTGAGTATCTAAGTTTTGAGGACGAAGATGGACCACGACGACTGCGACAAGAAAACTGAAAAGCATAAATATGAAAAATCAGAAAGAAATAGGTGTTAATACCACTAGGAAACCCGAACTATTAAAAATGTGTCATTTCTGTCATAAAGTGTCCAATGTGTCATTTGTGTTCTAAAGTATCCAATATGATATTTGTGTCCTAAACTATTTTTCTGTTAGAGTTGACTGGCGTTGACCGTTAGTTTTTAACAGAAAGTCTAGTCAACGCTGATGTGGCATCTGACGTGGAATTTTATTTTATTTTTTATTTTATTTTTGCATAAAAATGAATAAACTAACAGAAATTAAAAGAAACAAAAATCTCTTGGTCTCCTCTCTCCTCACTCGACCCCACTTCTCCAGCCCTTCATCGCGTCGTGTCGCCGCCATTGTCGGCAAAACCTAGAGAACCTATTCCAGCACTTCGTATTCATGATCCTCCTCCACCGGTCTACCGTTCATCGCCTCCTCGCCGACCGTTTTCTCCCTCTCATCTCTGGCAAATTCCAATTTCCTCCAAGCAGTGGTGGTTGGAGCCGCCGCACCAACACACTCGTTTAAATCGAAGAAAGCGATCTCCCTTGGCATCATCAACAAAGACCAAAGATTCACTCCACTCAACCCCTCTCTTTCTCACTCTCCCTTCATCCCACGCTCCATCCTCCCACCCAACCTGTCGCCGCCATCATTGGGTCGAAGGGTAGGATTCGGGGGAGGACTACTTAAGTGCTGGGAAGAAGTGCAGTCGTCGCCGACTCGTCTCGCCCTCGCCTATAGTTTGCTGCCAAAACTTCGTCTTTCCATCGCGACCAGAGCCACTCCCTTGCCTGGCAGAATCGTCGTCGAAATAGCGGAGGTCGTCGGGGAGAGGAGCAGTTTGGGGGGAGTCAGCGACGGATCCAGGATATAGTAGAGCACTGGATCGCATTTGAATAGAAATTAGAAACCGTTAAAAAAATTATAGCTATAATTTCTATTACAATGTCAATTGTACATGACGATTTTTTAATTTAGCGAATTCATAAAATAATTGAATCTTCATCCATAACAATAACATACTCTTTCTCAAAGAAAATAGTTAAGCAATCCGCGAGAAATGCATCGCTCATTTTGTTGCGTAAATAAGTTTCACATATTTTCTTTATAAAAAACCAGAAATATAACTTTTAGGATCTAGTGAACCCATCAACTGAAAAATTTAAATGATGACTCAACAATTTTGTTAATATTTTCTTCATCAAAAGACCGGAAAGAAAATCAGCTCCTGGCGAACTAGCGAAAGAATCCGTTTCGGGTTCGTTTGTCTCATCGTTCTTATTTTTTTTTAATGGAGGAATTTTTTGGGTTTTGACAGAGACGATTGAGGTTTAGTTTAGAGGTTTTTATTTCAATGAAACTTTCTACTTTTAGTCTTTTACGAGTAAGACTTTTAAGTTTCATTGTTCATTTTATTCTTTTCAAACGAAAATTATTTGGGCTATCATTTTTAGTCTAAATTGAGAGTAGTGGTTTGGATATGTTCATCTATACTATTTTTCAAGTTACACAAAATTTTATTATCAAATAATACTAGACCGAATTTAAATAGCACTAGGCCGAACACCTAATATCGAAAAATTCATACGTACTATACTAACTCGGGACCGCAAGAGGGTTGGGTCGGGACCCGGGGTGGCCCAGCCCTAGATCCGCCACTAGGAGGAGTTGAGGTTGCAGACGAGGAAGAAGCCGGCGAGAGTGGCGGAGAGGAAGACGAGACTGATGCAGAGAGGGAACATTTCCCCTGCCTGCCGGCTGCCTGGAGAAGAAAGGATTAGCAGGAGGAGTGAAATCGGCGGAATGTGATTAGAAGAAAGAGGAAAGCTGATGAGGGTTTCTTCTTCGTGTTTTGGGAGGTGAAGAGTAAGAATTCTACAATTGAGGGTTTGAGATTTTGATATTCACTGTATGTATTCTGGCGATTGGGTTCGCGATTCAGGGGATGGGTTCTTGGATGATATAAATGGCAGGCGGCGACGGGTGATTAAGGACGGAGGAGATGCAGGCGGCGGTAGGGATACGAGATGGTGGAGATGTTGATTATTTTTTATTTTTTTATAACTATATTATTTTTATTTAATTTTTAATTAAAAATATAAGGTGTCGGTGACATAGCATCTACGTGGCTGCCATGTCAACAAAAGTCAATGTTACGTTGACTTCCGTTTGGTCAACTGTTATCTATAACGGTTAAAGAAATCGTCAGAACATAAATGACACACAACTATAATACGTTGGGACACAAATGTCATATTGGATACTTTAGTACACAAATGACACTTTCTTAATAGTTCGGGTTTACTAGTGGTATTAGCCAAATAAATAGTTATCATAACAGCTATTCCTAAAAACTCTAAGGAGTTGGACGGAATAATTGCTATATTCGATCAGAATGGGGGCGAGGTACGGTGCTAATTCTATAAGAGTTGGCACCATGCTAACCACTGTTCAATATTTTAATTTCAATCAGACGGTGGGAAAAATAAATATTTATGAATAAATTTATTTAAAATTATCTCTTTCCTCTTTTATAGTAACGTATGAAAAAATACTACTGCTTAAATTAATAGTGATTTTGTAAAGATGATGTAGTGATTTTATAATTGTAAGTAGTGATTTTGTTGCTATCAACAATTTTAATTTTGTTTATAGTTGATATTCTATTGTTATTAGTAGTGTTTCTCATTGACGACTTTACATAAGAATCAATTGAAAATTATAAACCATTACATAAAATACAAAATCACTATTGATAAATCACTATTAAACAATCGCTACTAATAAGGCCATATCCACAAATACATAGAATAGCTACAAATCAAAGTACAAAACCCTACTACGTTACAAAACCGAAACCGATACAGAGGTGGTAATAGAGATATGAGAGTTGGGAAAGCTACTACATATATGATCATTCATCTCCCAATAAAACACTACTACACAATAAAAGGTAACTTTTACAGATCTGGCCGCCTATGAATCATGCAATGCAAAGCCGATGAAGAATGTCCTCAGGGTAGCAATCAACATTGTGATTGAGGATGGCAACGATGTGAACAGATCTAAGCGCCGTCCGCTACTCATCGATATTAGAAGCGCGACCGCAAACGCGCCGCAGTCGAGTTTCAACCCGTCTTTTCGAGAATGACATCAACGTGAACAGATCTGACCCGCCGCCCACTTCTCGCAATCTCGCCGATGTCAGATGCGCGACGCAATCACGTTGCAGCCTACCTCTTTGCATCTCATCGACGTTGGAAGCACGACCGCCCACTTTCCGTCGCAAGTCCTATTTGTTGTGGCTCTAGTCGACAGATGCCTCGCCATTGTTAAAAGAGAATGGTGGGATGAGTGGTTTTGAGAGAGAGAGAGTGTGAGGGGTAGGAGGCCGAGCGGCAGTTTCACAAGAAGGGTGCGGCTATAATGAGAGTGGGTAGAATATATATATGGCGAGTTCTACGGTACCCCGAGTGAAATCCGGTGTACCGCATACCTTGAGTATGAAAACGCTATCCAGACCTTGAATTGATTGATCTTTTGGACATGATATTATACTCTAACCCTTAAAGATCAAAATCTAGGTCTTAGCTCCCTAAATCTTATACTCAAATATCAATTTAATTAGAAACAATAATCGACGGCTATGATTCGTCCAAATATAGGCAAAAATATGAATGCTCCATCGTAGGGTTTATAGTTTATGATTTAGATAATTAGGACCTAGGGTTCACTCAATAAGGATTAGGGTATAGTACCAAGCCCAAAGTTTTTTCCTATTTCGAGGTCTAGATAGTGTTTTCATACTCAAGGTAAACGGTACCCTGAATTTCACCCGGGGTACCGTAGAAGCCACCATATATATATATGGTGACTTCTACGGTGCCCAGGGCAAAATCCGGGTACGGGTACCGTGGCCGACCTTAACCATTCGTTTTCAATCTCCACGGCTCACGTTTGTTAAACCTTCCTGCGCCACTAAATAACTAAACAAATTACAAAAAGGCTCCTGCCGCGTTAAGTTTTTTTTCATCCTAGTCCAACTAACTGGCACGATTAAATTAAATGGATTAAGACTGCAAACCCAATTGGGTAGACTCACTGCCGCCCTAACTAATTTCCAGTCTCCCTAACCAATTACACGATCCCTCTCTCGTCTTGGAGGGACGCCCCTTCACAGTTCCAAGAGAAGCTCCCCATCCAATTTGAACTCCCCAACTTAATCATCTTTTTGAATCCCAATTACTTGCATCCACATTCGACGTAGATTGAATTTCCCAATTTATTTTGTCTTGTTTCTTCTTCGCCATTTTATTTCCCCTCGCCCATCTCTTTCTAACACGATTACGGCGACCATGTCTATTATTGTGTTCATCAAACTTTTCATTTGCAAAGAACCCTTGAAAGAGGTTTGCTACCCCTAGGGTTCATGTCGCTAGTGCTTTGTCATCTTGTCTTAGCGTTATTGTGATTTTCTCGAACCTTATATCTCTCGGTGAAATTTAGGTTTCCTGATATGTAGTGTTCGTCTCGCCCAGAGGATTGAGGAAGAAGATGAAGAACACATAATTTGATTCGAATCGAATGGAGAGGTCTCCTTAGTTTGTGTTTATGTATTAATGGTGCGTTTAGGAGTAATTCTAGTTGGACTGGGTCTGATCATTGATTTTTGCAGGCTTTTAAATAACATTCAAACGTGGGCTTGTACATGACCCATGCAATATTCAAATGTGGGCTTGGAACGTGCGAGCCCATTTGTTTTCTCCTGCCGTATCAATTCGTGCGCCAACCCTAGTTTAACTAGCTTTACTTACCCTAGTTTAACCTACACGAGTTACCATCATCATTACTACATATCTTCCGAAATCTTCTAACTCTTGACATTCCAGACTCAACCGTCTCCATCACACTCACGTCTCCACACTCAACCCCCACGATCACTTTTTCTTACACCTACACTCTCTCTTTCCTCCATCTTCACCTTTCCTTATTCCTTCTTCCTCCAGACTCCATGGCAAACAAAGGTAAATCGTTTGCGGAAATGGGGATACTATCTCTATCAAATGAAGACTGCCGATCCACCGCAAGTCTCAGTGACTATCTTTCATTTACAAGCAAAACAACAATTGTGGCCGAGTACGAGTTCATCCACCTAAGTCCTTTCCCTCAAGAAGTGAAGAAGTTAATAAAAAATCTTGGCTGGGAAAAGTTCTTTGATCTCCGGAGTCGAGGAAGCACTAGTTACTGCCCACATGTGGTGAGGAAGTTCTACCACAATTTAGAGCTTTCTGGTCCCTGTGATTCTCATCTCGTGTCGATCTTCCTGGGACATAGAGTCTGCTTCCAGACTCATCAGTTTGCTGAGATCCTCGATCTCCCCGCCGCAGGACACCCCATTGATCGCAGAAGCGATCTTGGGAGGCTGTACAATTTTGAGTTTGAAGTTGAACTGGCGAAACTGACGAAGGGGCGCATCCAGGCTTCTTTCCTCCCAAATCCTCTTTGATTCCTCCACTGGATGATCGTCAACTGCTTCATGCCAAGGTATCGTGGTCATTCGATTATTCGTAAACTTGACCTGTTTATCCTTGTGCAAGCTCAAAGAGGTGTTCCTGTTAACCTCGCATCTCTCATGTGCCTGAACATGGTTGAGGCTGCTCCTAGAGGGGAAAACTGGTACACTGCCTTTCCATATGCCACCTTCGTGACCACCTTTCTTGAAAGGGTTGGGATGGATATGGGGGTTTATGTTAAGGAGGACCAGTGCGCCTATTTGCCAGTGTATCGTATCGCCGAATTGACCAATACTTTTATTGACCTTCGGCATACGGAGCATGAAGAGACCCCTGAGGCATCCTCAAGCAAACTTCCTAGGCTTACATGAGAGTCGATTGATGCAGGGCGGGGTGGAGCGTTGGAGCAGCAAAGGGGCCAGCAATGGATGTCTTCTGTTAAGAAGTTTACTAAGGCTTTGTTGGTTTTTTTTCCAGTCTTTTTCTCCAGCACTCAAAACTGCCAGGTACTGAGGGGAACCAGTACATCATCTGACTAGGAAAGTCTCCCATTTTTTTAATTGTCCAGACCAATATTTTTCTATGCATGCAGTATTTTGTGAATTTGCCATGGCTAATTTTCCTAAGACAGGTGACGAGATGCAGTAATGGTCATCTCCAATAGTGCAATTTTTGTGACTTGCAAGATGATGTGGCAAGGAGGTGCAATTGCATCCTACACTTGCTATGATGTGAGAAGCTATTGCAAGGGTGCAAATTAGCTTGCAATTGAAATTGGCCCACAAGTCGGGACTATTGATGAAATTGCAATGTTTTCTCAAAATTATAGAAGTGGAAGTAGGGACTACCTATGAAATTGCAAATGAATTTCATTGGGGGAGATTTTAATCCGCTTTTGTTCTAAGCAGTTCCAATTAGGTCGAAGAATGTGTTACTTATTTCATCTTCATTTTTTAATGGTTTTCGAAAATTATGGTTTTATTTATATTTGGTCACAAGTATAGTGACGATGATAGGCGTGAACAGTATGGATATGGCTTGATTATAATGATTTTTTATCTATGGTGATTTGTTTTCCCTTTTTCTTCAAGACTCATGCTTCTTTTATTCCCCCTGTGAATCTATCATGCTTCGTTTGTAGTAAAATACCCTTTTAATTATACACAATAAAGAATCCATTAATTATGTATGTCTTTTTATTGTATTTATTACTACAATGAATTCTCTCACTAAAAGGGGAGTGAAAACATCGTTGGTGGAAATTCAAGGAATGGAAGCCTTTCCATATCCTAGGAACATTAAATTAATTACATAAGAATTTTCTATCTGCCTTGTACGGGGTTTGGTCATTAATTATACTGATTGGGAGCCAATCAGTTTTACCTTTTGGGTTACCTATACATGAATGCAAATTTAATTAGACGATTGGGAGCCAATCAGTTTAACTATACATGATCCCAATTAAACCTCTCTACAAGATACAATGGCTTGAAGCCTTGAACAGAAGCAACCTCACTCACAAGGTGGAAGCTGGGATTTTGGTGAAGTCCCTTTGCCATTTCCACGAAAAAACAAACCAAATATAGAAAGCATTCACAATACCAAAAACCAAATATAGAAAGCATTCACCAAACCAAACCAAACCAAAAACCAAATATAAAAAGCATTCACCAAACCAAAAACCAAATATAAAAACCAAAAATAAAAAGCATTCACCGAACCAAACCAAAAACGGTTGTCCATCATCCTGAGGGGAAAAAAAACATAACAGTTGTCCATCATCTTGAAAACTAAAATGCAAAATCAGGTTGTCCTTGGGCTCGTTGGCTGGGTTTCCTTGTGCTCTTCTCTTTCCTTTTTCCTCCTTTCATGGGCTTTCTTGTACTCTTCCACTCCAGCTTCAACTTGAGGTGCAACTATTCTTGCTTCCGTGAGCACCATATGCCTTATGTAGTTCATGGGCTCTCGAACAAGGTACAAAGCGATCTGCATCCTCCTCACTTGAGTGCATGGCTATCAACATCAACAAACATGGTGCTTAACGCATGATTCAAAAATAACAATCAATTGTGGTTTTCTAATATGCGAATTAGAATTGTCTTTACCCAAATATAAGAGGAGTCCCAGCTTGCGCCATACATCCACATGCATACCCAGACTCCACTGTCAGACCTACATAAAATAAAAGCATTACGTGATAAGAACCAAGTTGATAAGTCGTCGTTTAATATCACAAAAAATGGGCATACTTACCGATGAAGTTGTTCTTGATCCTTTGAAGGATTTGTGTACGAAAACTCCGCAATCCTTGGTGGCGACAATCCCGGACCTTGTTCACGATAGAGAATCTTCCATAAGGCTTGCATAAATCTCATCTGTACAAATTAAGAAACGTTTGTACTTAGAAAGAGGTATTCACATTTATTTGCGTTATAACGGCACAATGTCACAAATTTACCATTGTTTGAACAGATTGTAGTCGAAAGGAATTGCAGTCTTCATTTGGTTGTGGATCCAAGATATGGACTTCTTCCTTGTCCAACTTAATGACAGCCAAGTACCAATGGGCATTATTTCTCATCGGAACACACACCTACATATGCGGAAATTGTCAACACGTAATAAAAAAATAAACTGCAAACCATGTAATACTTATTAAGACGAACAGTTTACCTTGTTCACCATATTGGTTTGACTAAGGAATTTTGATTCGTATAGGTCTAATGCCCTCTTGGGTGTTATTCCACATGAAATCACTAGTTCCTTCCCATGTGGTAGTTGCACAATTGAAATTTTGTCAACACAATATGATTCAAGTTAAAAAAACATGTGTTGTATTTTTTTTGGTGAGAGGAAATTGTCATTAAGCATAATCGGACCACAACCTGTAGTTCAGCAGGCATATAGCACACTCCTTTTCCGTCCTTAGAATTTGTCCACAACTCTTCTAGAGTCAAGTGGCAGGTCATCGCTGTTATAACCTAATAAACAAGGACAAAAAACACTTCATGATACTATTGAGTTGTTATAAAATAATTCTACGTAGAAAGCATTGATAGTGGACAAAAAAAACAAAATTTTGGAGTTGCGTTGATTACTTCAGCATCTACGAATGAGCGAGGGCTTAAGGACCACAATGACTTCCTGGTACAAGAGTTGTTTGAGGTTTTGACCAATACTTCGTCAGGTGGCAGATTGGCTAAAAATATATAGTGAGCAAGTTGGATTTGCTCATCATCGTATTCCATAGCCATAGGTAGCTTAAACTTCAAAACAACCTGGAATAGGGGCCACAAATAAACACGAGTCGAAATGCATTCGTTATGACGGAATAACGGCAAAGAACACTTCAATGGCAAACATGATACCTTTATTACCTTGTCAACAAAACTTAGACAAATACTTTTTCCATTTGGCTTCTTTGGTGTGACCTCAGAGTCAGATTCATCGTCCGAAATAAAAAAAGATGACTGAAGCATGAGTGGGTGGAGTGCTTACACCTTTGGGTATCCTTGGTTTCTTTGTTGGAGTCACAAATTCGGCGGTCTCCTTCAATGACAGTGAACCTACGATTAATAAATTAACTAGAATGAATTTCAATGGTAAAAGAGCTATTATACATACCACAAGCTTGGACGAAGAGCGAGTAATCCTCCTATTTTCCATGTTGTGCCTCTAATCTAAGCTTTAGTCTGTACTCAAAATTGCGGCAAAGAAGGATATGGAACCACTGCTCTATTGCTGAAGATTAATTATATATACAAGGTTAGGATAAATTGTGGCGTCATATTTTTCCCGCGGAAAAATAGTTAGGGTTTAGTCTAAGGTACATGAACTTGGGATAAACATGGGTAGTTATTAAACCTAAAATTAAAAATATACTTTTTTCGATTGAATAAAGAATTGAGTGCTATTAGTAAATATTCGCTCATATTAATATTTGATCCTTCCCCATACACGTAGTACACAGCTAGAGTCAGCTGGCGTTTGGCTTTACTAAGCAAGGTTTTTCATTTTAAATATTTTCGGTATTTGTGAAAATGGTAACGAAATCACTAAGATAAAGAATAGAAAGTTCAACTCGTTCCTACCAAAAATATAAGATATCACAAATCGTGTTATTAATGGGGATAATTATTAAGTGGCCGATTGAAGCATTAATTCGGCCATCATTCCCAGTAGGGTTTTGTAATCTACGTCCTTGGTTCCCCAAAATTTCCAGCAGTGACAATGACGTCGGAGGCAGACCCACCATTGACGTCGGAGGAAGTCCTAGTATTGACGTCGGAGTCAGTCCAAGAAAACGCTGGTGCCGGAGCCAATCACACCACCCAGGAAGATAATGTCGCCGATCTCATATTTCTACAGCCTGAAGATATTTAAAAAATGAAGTTCGATGATACAGAAGAAGCCTATGATTTCTACATGGACTACGCGTTAGTCAAAGGCTTCGACATCAGAAAATCAGACATTGGTCGTGATAAGAACAAAATTATGATATGGCGTGACTATGTATGCTCTGGCGAGGGAAAGAGGCGCATGAAGAGCACATAACGAAAGAGAGAAGCAAGAGGGGAGACAAGATTTAACTGCAGAGCCAAGATGCATGTTAAACAAGACAATGTCGATGGGAAGTGGTATGTGCACCAGTTTGATGATGTACACACACATGAAACGATCCCCAAAGAATATAGACACTACATGAAAGGGAAACGTCGTATGAGTGATGCAGTCAAAGCAGCGATAAATTTTAGAAGAGCTGCAGGTATGAAAACTTCTCAAATTGTGAATCTGGCCGTATCAGAAGCAGGTGGCTACGACAATTTGTGGTACACGAGGAAGGATGCATATAATTATGTGGACAAAGAGAGGAAAGAACAAATCAGTGAAGGTTATGTCGCAACAGCCCTAGCCTACCTGCAAGCTAAATGCAGCGCGGACGATCATTTCGTTATTGAACTAAAGATGGATGACGACGACCGGCTTATTAACATCTTCTGGGCCAATAGTATTTCTGTTGCTGATTATGCATGCTTTGGAGAATTACTGTCATTCGATGCTACTTACAAAAGGAACATTTACCAGATGCCTCTCGTGATTTTTTCAGGTACTTTTCTTTCACACATAGAATTATCCCGAGCATGCTAAAATAACCCTAGAAGTTTGCATAATCTAACTTTTTTTGAACTTTTTTAGGTGTCAACCACCATTCGCAAACTTGCGTATTTGCATGTGCTTTCTTGGCTAACGAGAGAGAGGAAAATTATATTTGGGTGTTGGGAGCTTTGAAGAGAAGGCTAGGCGGTGTAGATCCCAAGATTGTTATTACAGATGGGGATAGAGAAATGCGTAATGCTATTCAGAAAGTATTTCCCGATGCAACACATCGTCTATGTTCCTGGCATATAGACAAGACTATAACCAGAAATGTGAAGAATCATCCTACTTCTTTGCCCCGATGGAAGCATTTTGTGTCAGCTGACTGGGAACCTTTAGAATTCGAAGAAAAGTGGAAATCAGTGGTTGAGGAATGCTCCCTTCAGCACAACAATTGGGTCTCCAATTTATTTGAGCAAAGACATGAATGGGGGTATGCATATTTGCGTTCAAAGTTCTTCGCAGGCTTGAGTACAACATCAAGATGTGAAGGACTGAACTCTCAACTTGCCAATTATATCGAGAAGGATAAAAATCTCCTTGAGTTCTTTATTCACTTTGATCGTTGGACTAGGGATATGAGGGAGAATGAGCTTCATGCTGATTTTGAATCCATTCATCGAGAACGAACCATCACAAGCAATGTCTTAGTCTCACTTCAGAAGAGTGGAGCGGCAGTTTTCACAAAGAACGCATTCTTCTTATTCAGAGACGAGGTTGAAAAGTCGGCATGTTGCATAAGGTTGGAGACAGAGCGATCGGAAATTGAGCGTGTGTACAAGGTCAAGGTGTCTG